TTTCTAGGAGTTTTTTTTTTGTGTATTCATGTTATAACTATCCATCATTGACGTGATGAAAGAGATTCAATAATATCATGCTCTTTCACACAAAAATAAAAACAATTGCACACATGAATAAAAAGAAAATAAGTTTTTAAAATGAATGATTTACAATCAAAGTGCATACTAGTTCTGTATTATATGCTCGGTATTTGAAACAAGGAAATTATTTCGCTGAATATAAATCAGAGCATTTTACTTTTGATATCTATTTTTTGTTAATCTTGTCTTTCAATCAAATAATATATTTAAGACTAATGTTCATTTCAGAGTTAAACGGTCGTGAGTATTTTTTGAATAACTTTTGATAGAAACGAGATAGAGATTTCCGATTTTCCCCGTTGAAAAGAGCAGATGAAGACACATTGAATTATATATAGAACGATTTTTAACTACTTTTCTATAGGTTTTACATAAAACTTCAAGAAAAACAGCATGCTTCTTATGGTCACGATATTAATTTATTGATTTTCAGGAGTGCTCTAGAATCGCCAAAAGAAGGGTTACAATACTATCTCAAGACGTTGTTTCTAACTACTACCAGTATGACATCCAAACCATCGGAATACAATTTACCACCTCATCTTTTTCAACAAAATAATCGAAAAATGTAAATTTTTATAGTATTTTGATAGAAAAGCCACTTTTTTTTAACGTAGGAGAAAAAAGCAATTCTTTGAAAACGTTTGATTAAACCTTTAGAAAAGTAGTTAGAAAAATCTTTCTATACATAATTCGATGCGTCTTCATCTGCTCTTTCCAACGGTGAAAACCGAAGATCTCTATCTCGTTCCTATCAAAAGCTATTCAAAAAATGCTCACGAGCATTTAACTCTGAAATGGACATTAGAAATATCAGACGATTTGCTAAGCTGCCGTCAATGACTTGTAAGCGATTCAGCTGCGTTCAAAAAGTAGGTATTTTGCTGTTTGAAAATTTCTGACATACCAGATCAAATTTTTCAGATGATTACATTTGCTTTCTACCATCGTTTTTTCCTCTTTTTCGTTTCGAAAATTTCTCGAAACTTTTTAGAAAAGTCATACAAATTTTTAGACACTGGCGCTGATCAATACATCGGCTTACATTTCTATTTGCATTATAAATCACAGTTAATCTACCTAATTTCAAAACTAATCAATATTTTTTTTAATCTTTTTTTATATAGTTTCAAGAGCAAATCAAGTTGAAAGCAATATGATTAGACTTAATGGTGACATAAATTAGTATCGACATTAAAAATAAAACTTAAGCACTAAAAACCATTCTGAATTCAAAAGGAGAAGAGTAAAATAAATATATGACAATAATGCATCAAATACTGACTTATATAATTTATGTTGATAATTTATCTTGAAAAATTTTTTTATATTGTTGATTTTATTCTATAATTTAGAGGTCATGCTCGTAAGATTTATGATCAGAGCAAAATAGTGTCTTTCAGTGAACATAATGGCAAATTTTTGAGCTTAGTTAATTTTTTTTATATATTGAACTAATAATCGAATTTGATAATATAGAACATGGCAATTTTTTTTTATGACGTACAACATTCCATTGATACTCATGATTAGTAATTTCCTTTATCAACAAACATCAAAACAGTTAAAATAAATATTATTTTATAGCTTTTATATTGAAATATAATTAAACTTCACTGTTTGACAAATGACACATAACTGAGAGCACTGTAACTGAATCTAAATTAACTTTTTCTTTATTAAAAAACTATACAGCTTTCTCTTATTTTGTAAGGTATTTTTGTGAGTGACTTCTTACATTGTGCTGAGAAGTTGTCTATCCGTCAGAAAATCAATAGTGATTTCAAATTGGATTCAAATTTTATTTTAGTTTCTCTGACCAACAAAAACAACCGAAATTAACATGAAACTTGACATCTATTCATCTTATCGCTAGATCTCTTTCTAGCAATGAAATCGAACAGACAGTAAAATAGTGTACGCCCACACATTACAGCTCATATGAAAATCCGCATCCAAAGCACAGGCACATTCATTTTCACTTATATCTTTCATTTAAAGATAGATGAATACTCCACGATGTTTAAAAATTTGATGTGACCAACCACCAGGTGATGCATACAATACTATAAGTAGATTATGAAATCAACAGAAGGATAATTCAATGTTAAATAGTATGAAAACTATAAACTTTTGTTGCATGTAATATTTTCACTGTTTCATAAGGATATTTGGTTCGAGAAAGAAACCTGAAATTGAATTCAAGTTAAACAAGGACAAAAATTATTTTTAAATCTACAAAGAATAAAAACAAATATTATTTAAATAAAAGTCTAAACGATTAGGTTCAAGGTTCATTGTACTGAGTTATAACTTTCTTCGTGTGAAGGAAATATATATCAATGATTCGTAACAAATCCAATAAATTTTAACAGAAATATTTTTTTATTCATTACGTCTTCTAATATTTGTGTAATTTTCACGATTTTGGCCATTTGCACGTGCATACTTGCCCACTCAGATTGCCAAAGAATTGATAAGAATAGTGCAAGTGCACAGCGACATAAATACCAAACAGTATGAATGAAAATCAATTATTCAAAGCTTCTTGATAATCCGTCAAACTGAGCGAGCATTCAGTGTGATTGTAGCTGGTTTCTTCTGAAAAAATTGATCAGTAGATAAAAGCGCCCCATTAAATAAAGACCATATTTCTTTTCTATTTTGAAAATTTTTGTATAAAACCATGATCCAGAATTTCCCTACAATAGTTATTGATAACAATATGTTCCTTTCAGTAAAGCATACTGATCCCTGATGTATTGAGCAGCATCGAATTCAATATTATTTGAAAAAAAATATTATGCGATTGGCGTAAGAACTCAAGTAGGCGATCTTTCTATTACAGATGAACAACAATCTATTGACAAGTAAATATCCGGATTCCAAGTAATTAATCAACGTTGCAGTTCTTTGGCTTGTTTTAGAGCAATAATTAACATAAATGAAGAGTGTTGTTCATTTGCCTTCGATACAGTTATCTTTTATTGGTTAATATAATTCATTGTTTTACATATCTGCAACCGGTTATCAATTACAGTTAAATTTATAAAATTCTTCAAGACGAAAACCAAGTCAGTTTGAAGGTGTTTATTCAACAAATATGTTCACCATTAATAATGAATATGTTAATAGATGCTTTTGTTATTATTCGTATCTTTCTATCAAAATTAAAATTATCATTAAAAATACATGTCTAACCAAGAATGATACGAAACATTCTATGATAGTAAAGATTAGTGCATCTTCCAAATTTGTCTTTTTTTTTGTAATTTAACAAGTCAATTAACGAGTTATGGATACATAAGTTGAATATACATGGTGATGATCCATCAAATAGTACTGATCAAATAAAATAATTAACATTGTATAATTATGTTTTATCTGAATATAATCAAATTCTTACATCATCAACGTATACAATAATCGAAGAACTCTTTGTAATTCATATAACAAACTTTGTAAAGATATGATGAAGGAAAGAAAAGAAAAAATTGAATGGAAACTGCGCAAATCTATTTATTTTTTTTCATGTAAATTATATTTATTTTGATTGAATTTTTTAGTTTGTTTTATTTTTATCTATTTATTTTCATGACAAGTATAAAATCATCGTTTGTACGGCGTACATCATTGTGTCCACCTCATGAACGTAGTGATTTACCAAATGCTTCAATGGTTGATGGTTCAAATGTACCGAAAAGTCTGACTCAACATCCTCGACAACGTGATCAAGAAACTGCAACTGCCCAAGACCAACAAAATCAATTAGCACAACAACGTCTTTCATTGATTAATGCTATTGAAATAGTGAAAACTTGGCATAAAACAAATTCAATCAATGATCCAACAAATCAAATACATCAGTCTGATACAAATGTACAGAGAAAAAAAATAATTCAATCACAAAATAGGAATAAAATCAGATCTTATCAAAAAAAGAGTATTTCATTCAATAAACATTAATATTTTTGAATAGATAGTAAATGTTATTGAATTATTAGTACATAGGATGTTATTTTTCCATAGCAACAAAATAAATCTGAATAAACACTAACAATACCGCTATTAATACATTTTTTTTCCAGTTTTAATTGCATTATTGAAACAAAAGATTACAGATATTCTTCTGATATTAATAGACTCAATCATATAATACATATTAAACATTAATTGTGACTTTGATGAAATGATTACCTTTCAATAAGAAACAGTTACGTTTCTTATATTCAGACTTCGCAGTCGTCCTGTAACTTTTATATATTTGAAAAATGGTCCTATAAATGTCCTCTATTTTAGACCTTTGTCCTATATTTTGTATATTACTTGAAAACTTTATTTTAATCTATTTCCGATCCCTTTTTGAAGTACGACAAAACATGATAAAAGACGGAAAATTTGAGTAACTTTCTTAATCATATTCTAATTTAAGGTGAATTTAAATGCTATGCTCTTCACAATGAGTATCACTAGTTTTTGAGTTACGTCGATTTATTAGCAAAATAATTGTTAATCAACATGGATTATGATTTTATTTTTGAATTTAACAAATAAATATGAAGTGAGGTCATAGAACAAATAGTTTCTTAGTAAGTGTGAGTGTCTCTATGATTAAATCACTTCTCTTAACTTTTTAGCGTTTCATGCACATTCTTTTTTAAAAATTTCTAGCATTCGAGTTTAACAACTGGTATGATTAAGGCAAGCCTACCCAAAAATAAATCATACTTATCAGAAGGGCGCGAGTGGTGCATATTGCTGATCGACACTCACCATTAATGCACTCATTGAATTATTACATTAGAATATATAAATAAAACAATCCTGATACTTTGTATTATCATGAGTTAGTCTCGTATATCATCTAGTTTATTGAACATTTTAAAGAAAAAAAAAAAATAAGAAAATAAATTTAACTAATTATCAATGCGATGCTTTTTGGATTCTAACATAACAAGTGATGGTATTTGTTTGCAACCCGTTGTACTATTGAATATTTCTTGTTCATTAATATATTTGAGAGAATTAAGAATATTTTCAATTTGTTGATTATCAAATGGGGGTTGAACATTTTGTACATAAGCTTCATTTTGAATACATGTTCGAATATGATGACGTTGTAACATATTAAATTGAATAAATTTTGTAATTATATTTTCTAAATTTTGTTTACATATATCTAACATGGAACCTGTTTGTAGAAGAATAATAAATACATTTTTATTATTATTAAGTGAATATAAAGCTTTAGTTAATGTTTGACAATATGTTTCATTTGTTGGTAATAAATCCAAATCATCAATAATTAAAAATTGAAATATTGACGGAGATAAGTATGATAATAAATATGATGAAAGACGATCAGATTCAGTCCAATGATGTGATGGTAAACCAAGAAGTGTATTCGTAGATATGAGAGTTGTTGGTAAAAATTTTTCAAGTGACGAAGCTAAATAAGATTTTCCAGTACCGATTGGACCCTAGAATTCAATAAATTTATTAATATTGAATAACTATTAAAAATAAATTAATAAATACTTCGATAATAACGACAGTAAAATTCTTATGATTTTTCATGGCATCTTTAAATTGTTCGAGTCCTTGATCTTGTCCAACAAGATTTTTCATTAAATATTCACTTGCATTTTGCCAATTTGTTGAACGTGGTAGAATAATGGATGTATTCGAATGTTGAACAATGAAATAAATAATCAATAGCAAAATTGGAATAGAAAGAAAAATTGTAGTAAATGATCGTCCAGATGAATTTGATTCAGATTTTTTTTTTGGTGATATCGAATTAACAACTGATGGAATCGATTCTTTTATAATTCGCTGTCGAAGTTGATTTGGTTCATCTGAAATATTTTGTGTTTTCATTTCACTACTACTATCTGATAACACTGTTGAAAATAGACAAAGACTTTTCGAATCATTATGTTCATGTTCATTTGACATTGGATTTTTATTTATTGATCGATAATCATTCATATTTGGTCCATTGAATAAAATATTCGAAAGTAATTCTTGTTGTTGTTGAAATGCATTTAAAAGTAAATGATTCGATGGTATTGGATTTATTGTACTTATTGGACTAGATGCTGGTGAAATATCCATAGCTGATATACTATGAACAGAATTCATTGAATCATCCATATCTGAAAATAAAGACTGAAACAAACTATAATAATAAGGTTTTTAACTATATAAGTGAGAAATTCTGATGGACATATGGTAGATTGAGAAGATCGACTATTCTATATCTTGTATTTACTCGAATCAATAAACGTATATTGAAGGATGAATTCACACGAAACCAAATTTATCCTAGCTTTGATTTCTCGTCGATTTCTGTTACAAAAAAGATAAATATATGTAACAGGCAAAATTAAACAGCATTTTTAAAAGACTCATAAAAAAGGGGAAAACGATAATAACAAAGAACTGATCTTATATATATTTGTCTTAGCAAGCATATTTAAAGTATGAATATATTATCTTGTTGAATTTCAACCAGAAATAATAAAGAACCGTACATATTCCCTGCAATAGAATAATAAATGTCTTCTCTTGAAATCTGATGCTAAAAAAAGCAATATGTTGATTTGCACGTTTATAAAAATACTCTCAAACATCATTTTCTAATGTCGACGTAGAAGTTATTCTTGTATATATTAAAGTATGATTACTGATAAAGAAAGTTATGCTCAATTAAAAAAAAAAGTAAGCGTTATGCTCTCTTAACGAAAATTAGAATCTGTTTTTAAATAAAATAAAATAATTTCATAGTTTTACGCCTAATTAAAAAAGAAATATGTTTTATTTTTATTTTTATTTTTACCTAACATTCAATTTTGTTCATGGCATATCTGTATCTAGTTCTAGAGTAAAACCCATCAAGTTGATCGCGAACATGGGTCTACGTTCAAAAATTTTTTACTTGATAAACTCTATTAAAGAGCCTACACGATAGATAAATTTTACTCACAAATTGTAGAGATGTTTTTGTGAAACATGATCTAAAACGATTGTTGCAGTGTAAGGGTAGAAATTTGAAAACCTTTCCTGACCTTGTTCGACAGATATCCTCAATAATGTCTTTCCTTCATCACAGAATGTGACATCCGCTGTTGATATACGATCAGCAACGACTTGTTACAGTAGATGAACTATTTCCTTACTTAATTTCTAAACGATTAAATAGAAGGATAATGAAAAAATGTGTTGCGAATTAGATAGAATAAAACGATCTTTCTGTGATTAGGAACAGTAACTATATTGTGTTTTATATGTTAATTCGGCAAGAATTGTACTAACAAATTTTTTCCAACATCTAAAATAAAATTTCGATAAGATGACTAGTTCATTGTTTTTATTCTTCTTATGTGATATTCTAGTCACAACTGTTCTTTTCATCAATTTTTCCATGTACTCAGGTCATTGATGAAGATTACCGTAAAACTAAATATAAATCCAAAGACTTCGAAAAATAAAACACAAAAACACATTATTTTGATAACTTTATTGAAACAGAAAACAATTATCTATAAGGATCAACTGAAGGATGTTGTAATTTAATCACATTCGGATATTCAGGTTTTTCACCTGTAATAACAAGTATAGGTTTCGGTCGAAATGGTCTTCGTCCAAAGCGAGATGTTTTCGGATGAAATAAACCAAGTTTTGGTCTTATACCCATTAAACGAGTTGCACCAGCTTTACCATAAACAAACTCATTATGTTCAACATTAGATAAACGACCCACAGTAACCATACATTGTTCAAGTATTGAGATTTCATGTTTTGTTGGTAATTGTAAAATACATCGATCATCAACACGTTTCATTATTGTTGCAAATGTACCAGCATTTACTGCATATTTTGCACCTTGTCCTGGATAACCTTCAACACAATTAACTATCGTACCAATTGGTAATGCACCAACTGGATATGCATCACCTTCACTTGCTTTTACTAAAAGAAAGATATCAATATCTAGGCAAATAAGAAACCAACAAAAATAAAATGATCGAACCGGGATTTTTTGGTATTTCACCAGATGTTTTAACTAAATCACCGACTTTAAGATTTTCAGTAGCTAATATATATCGAAGAGTATTTCCATGTCCAATTAAAGCAACTTTAGCTGTATGACAATCACTATTCATAATACGAATAACACGTTCAATTAATGGTGGACCACTTTTCGGTCCTTGTCTCATGGTGTCAATCCATAACCAAGTCTTTTTTAAACCACCACCTACTCGACGATATTCTTTTCGACCTGAAAGAAAAAATTATATATATATATATAATTTTATTTAATGTTTTCAATTAAAATTCTTTTTTTGCTTACCAGTATCAGGATGATTTCCACCAGTTTTTCGTGTTTCAAATGGTTTTACTGTATATTTTTCTGGCATTTTAGGTATTATAATTCTATGATCATAATAAAAACCACCTTCACGATGTTCACGACAATTATCAATTATATATTGTGGACCCATAGCAACTGGCATTTCTATTACATTTGCTTTCCATGGAACTTTTATATCAGTTGTTTTAGTTATATCTGACGACTGTGAATCAGATTTTATTGAATTATCATTATCTTTTTGTTTTTGAGTCGATGGGGATGTATTAGTGGTTGTTGAACTAGAACGATTAAAATAAGAAAGAACTTATAGGATAAACAAAATTTATATTTATTAATACCGAGATAAAGAACCAAGGATTGATGTTAAATCTCGTTGAAGTACTAGAGCAACATTATTTCGAATTAATGAATACATCTTAAAGAATTCATATAGAAAATAATCTCGACGTATTCATTCATTCTTCTTTTGTACTATTCTAATTCGTCGATGAAATAACCAATCAACATGTGAAACAATGCATGGATATCATATTATATCATTGGTGATATATGTGCATGTTGTACTGTTTATGTATACAACTAGAATCTATTTCTTTCACGTATACATCCCTGTTTTTTTTTTACTCATTTCCTCATTCACATTGAAACAAGGAAATAGTACATCAAATAAGATGATATAAAAAATATTTTTATTTTGTATATACGTACGAGTAATCCACGAGCTAAAGTCATATTAATTGCTGATGCAATACATTTTGCTAGTAAGAAAGATAAATAGGGACATGATAATGGAATAACATCAAGTGAACGACAATTGCGTACAACAGTTGGCTCATCCAAAAAACCGTTTTATGATGTAGTGGAATTTGAATAACAAGATCATACGGTTATTACTGCAGAAAAAATTGAATGACTAAGTGAAAATATATAACATGGTTTTCATATTGATGAATTTGCTGATGTTAGGAACGTAAGTTAATTCTTAATTGTGTTAGATATATACACGTATGGTTTTATAAGGATGTATATCAGCTTGTGCTTATTGTAAGCTAACATGCTGAACCCGAAGATACTGATGGATGATATTAATTTTAGATTCTGTTTTAATTTTCTTTCTTTTTTTTGTATTCAAACATGTTTCTAATTTAGGAAGTGTTCAAGGCAATGAAAATGGTATAGCAATAATGAATATAGAAGATAAGTTCATTTCACTTAATGGTGAACACGCATTTCTTAGTCATTGTTTGGTTATTCATGAAAGATCCCATGGTATCAATTCAGAAAAAAAATCTATCGAAGAAAATTTTTTTTTTATTTTACAAATTTGATTGATCTATCAGCTACTCTCTAACTTTCGTCTTAGTAAATATGTATGAAAAGTAAAACTTTCATTTTATGTATATGTGTGTATTTTTTTTTGTGATATCAAAATAGAATAAAATGAAACATCGTACATTTTATTTTATTTATCATTATACATCGTTCATTTTCATTTTAGATAAGAACAGGAATCTGTTTTTTTTTCTCAAAATATGGTAAACTGTGGATTTTAGGTTATTGATTCGATTTTCGGACTAATTCAAAGCAGAATACTGTATAAAATACCAGTGATCAATTTGCTTCAGAAGAATTGTTCTTTTTTCTAAGGTTATTGTGAAAAATATTGCATCATATTCTACTTTCATCTTTCATCATTCTGTCTATTGAATTAATATTTATTATTTCAATCATTTAAAAAAAAATATAGTTTGCTTGTTTTTTTCAGATATGATTAAACCGACAAATAAAAATTCTGATTATCGTGAAGAAGAACGATTAACATGTGTACTTGTACTTGATACATTTAACATTTACATAAATGAAATCGTTTCTCATACATCACTTCCATTATGTTTATGGCCTGTTGATGGTCGACCATTACTTGACTATACTATTCATACATTAATACGATCAGGTATACAAGAAATTATTTTATTAGCAACATCATATTCATATGATATTCGTTCATATATAATGAATAGTCACTGGTTACGAACATATCCAAAATTAATTAAATTGATTCCTTGTAAAGAAGCACGTTCACTAGGTGATTGTTTAAAGGATCTTGAACAAGAAAATATAATAAATAATCCTTTTTTATTACTATATGGTAATGGTACATTAATAACAAATGAAAAATTAAAGAATTTATTTAATATTCATAAAGATAATATAAAAAGAGATAAAAATTGTGTAATGACACTTGTTTATCGTCAATTAGATTCAAATCATTTTGAACATCCATCATATACAGATGATCAATATTTATGTATCGTACGTGATGCTAATACACATCGTTTATATGATTATTCAACAGAATATCTTGATACATATGAAATATCACTTGATTTATTAGAAAAACCAAATGTAACTATTGAAACATTATATTGTCCATTGGATTGTCGTATAGCAGTTTGTTCACCTGATGTCTTACATTTATTTAAAGATAATTTTGATTTTTTAACAATTAATGAATTCGTTAAAGGTAAATATAATGATACCAAACAAAAAAAAACAAAACAAAACAGAAATAGTTTCACATTTAGATTTAAACAATTTGTTTTTGCGAATTGTCTGTAAAAATACAAATATTTCTTTTCATACTTCAATTTACAATTTCATTTAAAATTTTCATTCGAGTCATCAAAATTCTTGTTATTTTTCGTTTCTTATTGGGTTTTATATTTGTATACAAAAGTCGTTCTTACTATAGTTACACTTAAAAGAATCAGCCATAGTTTAATGATTGTCAATAATTTCGAATAGCATGAAAGATGAGCGTATGTTTATAGAAAACCATTTTGTGGAACTGATATATATATTTTCGAAGAACATAGGAAGTGTAAGTTTTAAATCGAAGTTTTGCAGCTCTTCTTCCTCATTACAGACTTATGTCGCTAAAGACGGCAAGTGTCAGACTCTTTTTTCCAAACTTCTGAACCTATGGAAAAGATATGTTGAACGTCACTAACAACAAGACTTACGTTAGACTGCTCTAGAAAATTTCAAAGTCGTCACTAAAATTTGAATGATTGCCTCTTCGGAGACCAATTGTATTAGACAAGAGCTATAGCCTGCAACAGGTTTTTTTAGTTTATGTATCGAGTACAATGATCTAGGACCTCTTGTTCTTTATTGATATGTGAAGTTGAATCAAATTGTTCATTTAGAAAGTATACAGATTTAGCTATATGTGTTCTTCAGAAAGAAATCGATTCAATTAAAATGAACAACGTCGGCTCTAGGAGAAGAATAGTGAAGTCAGTGGATATATGAAATATGTATGGTGATGACTCTTATGTGTTCATCGATCTTAACGATAATGCTTGAAAGCGTGCCCCTAGATGGATCAATGATTTTGTTTTTCACACTAATTTTGTAAAATATACATGATATTTTTATGAAGATGTATAAGTATGTGACACTAAATTCTTTTGGAAAAGCTTGAAATACTAGAATTATCTTTATGGATAATCAAAAGAAAAAAAATAGAAACTATCTGTTGACATGAGTTTCATTCCTGGATAAATCTTTCATTGTAATATTCATTCATTTTTACTAGGTGTTTTACGTGATGAAGAAATAGCTGGTCATACAATATATTCATATTTATATGAAACAGGTTATTTTCTTTCCGTACATAACTTACGATTATATATGAAAGCAACATTTGATATTCTTCGTCGATGGTCATATCCACTTGTACCTGAAATAATAGCATCAATGCACAAACAACAATTATCAACAGTTACAACTCCAATATCACCTCAAATAAGATTAAATGATTCATGTTTATCATTTTATAATATATGTTATCCAATAATTTATGATAAACATAATATATATAAACAAGGTGATATACAATTAGATCGTTTATCAAATATTCAACAAGATGTTTTTATTGGTTATAAAAGTCAAATTTTATCCGGTGTACGTATATGTTCATCACTTATAGGACAAAATTGTATTATTGGTAAAAATACTAAAATTGAAAATTCAATTATATGGAATCATGTACAAATAGGTGAAAATTGTATTATTAAAAATTCTATCATATGTGATAATGTACTTATTCGTAATAATGTACAAATTGATAATGAATGTGTACTTTGTAAAAATGTTATTATTGGTACAAATGTTCATTTAAATTCACGTATGATTATAATTGCATCGAATTCTATAACATCAACAACTGTAGTAGATGAAATTGAAATTGATGATAATATTCCAATACCATCCAAAAATGTTAAACGTTCCAATTCTAAACAAAGATCTAGTTCAACAAGAATATCAGAGAAGTCTTTTTCAGAAAAATCAATTAGTTCAAGTACTGACGAACCTGTAACATCAAATAGTGATCTAGTTGGTAGTGATGGTTTAGGTAGGCAACTTAGTTTTGCTTCTACACATGATGATCAAACAAAACATATTGAGCATACAGATGATGATGATGATGATGATGATATCAATGATAATGATCAAAATGGATTAAATGCATTTGATGCATGGGGCTATTGTATAGAACATAAAGAATTACCACTTGGTGATGAGATTGATGAGATTAGACCTCAACCATATCGTTCACCTAATTTAGAAAGACCTTCTAATCAACCAACAGATATTCCATCGGAAGATGAAACATCAGAAACTGATGATAATGAAGATTCATCATCAGAAACTAGTTCAATAGATGAAACAAATGATGTTAGTGAATTTCAACAAGAGGTTATTCGTTCATTGGAACGTGCTTATACACAAAAACTTCATATAGAAAATATTATTGTTGAATTAAATATGTTAAAACCAACATATGATGTATCACCTACGGAATTTGATCAATCTATAGTACATGCTGTATTTTTATTACCATTTGAAAAGAAAATATCGAATTCAGAAAAAACAAATTATTGGAATACATTAAAATTAACTTTGGATCAAATAACACAATTTATATTAAAAAATTATATGAAAATAACAAATAAACAATCACAAATAGCATTATTAAATGAATTAAATTTAATTTGTTTAAAACATATTCAACCAATTGGTGAACGTATTGTTAATATATTAAATTATTTATATGACAATGATGTTATTGATGAAAAATGGATAATTCAATGGTATGATGATAAACAAGAAAAAATTAAAAATAATCAATTAATAATAAAACCAGAAGAGAAAATTTACTATGATAAACTTAAACAATTTGTTGAATGGTTGCAAAATGCTGAAAGTGAAGATAATGATGAAGACGATGAAGATTAGAAACATATATTTCAAGTTTATTGGTAGTTTTTTTTTTTTTTTACAAAAAAGAAATAAACAAGGTTTTAAAATATCGTTTTCAACTCTTAAATTCCCATTAGTGCTATGTATTTTAAAAATTTAATATGCTTCACTGTGCTTTTGGATAGATTTTAATAGGAACGTCATAGAAACCTGCGGTTGTCATCATTCAAAGAAGAAGATCTGAAGCTATCAAAGCATATCGAAAATCGATTGTTTAGAAATTGAAGAATCCGATGTATTTTTGGTGGAAATTTCCAAAAACAATACTCTAAAGTTATTTCCCGATCAGTTTAGACTATTGAGAGGACTATTCGATAGAAAAAGTTCTTTTCTTTCACTCTATACAAGACCAATATTTCTAGCTTGTGCCATTTGACAATTATAAGACTCATTCTTGAGATTTCCGATATCAGTCGATTGACTTGTGATTACTCGGAAAAACGGCTAGACAGGTAACATATTGAATAAAACAAATAAAGTTTAAGAAAATTTCAAGTAAAAATAAGATTTTCTTTTATTTCAAATGTGTTAATAATAGCAAACTTCTTGATTATATACTCATTACGTAATAATTGATATAGGTCAATAGTTGAACATATCTATTGTCTATTGTTTGTTAGCATCATGATACTTTTGTGCGTCTGTAATTGTATAGCATCCTATAAACAGATTATTCATCATTTGATATAATAATGATACAATTTTTTTTCTCACTAGTATCGTTGGATTCAATTAAATGAAGTTGAAATTGATATAAAGTCTTAATAATTTCTTCTTCTTCACCCTATTATACATAAAAACACTGTTGAATCAATCTGAGCTCAGATATATATATATATAAATTTACCTGCATATGTTGAAGTAATTCTTTAGCACGTTGAAGTTCTCCGGCACGTCGTAATGCATCAGCTTCGATACATCGATCGAGACCAAGTTGTTTACTGAATTCGACATTAGCCGAACGAGAATCGTCGATCAATTTAGCAGCACGCAGACGGCTACGCACTGCTCCTTGTTCATTATGGGCATCATCACAATTCCAAGCAGCACGAAGTGCTTGCCATGCTGCTTCTACCAAATTCTTCTCATGTTCTACAGTGCAAAATAATTATAATAGGAGTAGTATGATAAGATAAGATAATGCAGTTTCAGTTTATTTAGATTTCTCTGTTCATTGGATAGGATTAAAATTGTTTGTAGTTCATCACAAACAAAACGGAATAATTACATGTAAAATCTTACCAAGTAAAATTGAGTAGCAAAGAAATTGATTCGCTAATGATGGATAATCATTTGAAGAGAGTTGTGCTTGATAATCGGATGATTGAATAATTTCCTTGCGGGATACCTAAAGTATATGTAATAGAAATGATTGATTATATGTGATATTATTTGTTTTTTACTATTTACTCCTTTCTCATCGTTTATGTTATGGCTACAATAGCCACAATGAGAGCAGTATTCAATCCAAGCAAACATAGTATCACGTTTCATTGGTGGTGGTCTGTTCGGATTAATAAAACCCATATACACAGTTTCATATTGTGTAAAACAATCGAAATAGTCTTACCTCAGATCAAGATCAGGTTGTCCAAATGTTGTATAAGACATTATTTCTTTTTGTGATGATGATTTTCCGCAACAAGAACAAGTTTTGTCTTCATCACAAAATGTGACCATGGTGCTAGATGTTTTTATGTCGATATTTAGCGACTACTTTCAACAGTTACTGAAAGAAAATAAAAATAAAAGATGCATTTTTATTCTATTATTCATTGGTAATACATCTAAATAAAAATGACTCATATTTCTATGCAAGAAAAAGAACAGAATGAAAGTAAAAATAATATCTACAGCAAATTGCTCAATCATTTCGAAATAACAATTCATCATTATCTTTTCTAGATGTTTGAATAGTATTCGTAGCAACAGAAACAATAAATTCGTAGTTTAGTTAGTAATTTTCAACCATATAGATGGCATACCAACTCCTGTAACTTCGAATGGATGGAAAAAGACAGAAAGGAAAAATATCGAAGAAAAATAGAACGAAATGTCGAAAAGAAAAACGTCGAATGGAAAAAGAACGAAAAGAAAAATATAGAAAGAAAAACATCGAAAGGAAAAATGTCGAAAATATCGAAGGCGAACAAGTAGAAAAGAAAGCATTAATATTAAGCTACCGTTTTAGTGCGACAAATAAAACATTAACGTTTTAGTACCATTGTCCTCTTTTGTATTTCTACTTCTGAAATGTCGAACATACACCAAGTGTTGAAATAAATCCATTTTCAAAGCGTTTTATTCACGAATACAGTAGTATTCCAAGACGAATCAGTTGGTTTCACTTACTGCAGATAAAATGACTACTTTTTCTAATCGGATCAATTTTCTTTAGCAAAAAAATCCTTTTTAATGATGAGCAGAGTTCATATTTCAACTAAACAAAAACATCACATACAATAGGTTACTGTCGATATGAGAACAGGAAATATGTTTCAAAGTTAAATAAGTATATATATATAGAATCCTAGAGACTAGCAAATTGAATCTGAGGAAATGAAAATTCGAACGTTGTAAGAGCAATACAAGAATGTGTTAAAGAGATTTTCCTAATATCCAAGTATTCAACGTGGACTCGTTAAGCTCATATTTGAGACAACAGTCTATCACATTTCAATCGCCATAGACCGAAATAGATAATTACAAATTCTTGGTTTTGATTGAGGAATTACTTATTCACACTTATTTATTGAATAATGCAAAGCAGTTTCAAATACCTATCACCTTCAACTCCCTACTTTTTGAAATGCTAGAAACTTGCAAAATAACATAAATTTATTTTTCATTCACGCAACGAAAGCTATTATATCTATGCTCACGGTACTATAGATGCAATTTCGTTAGGCTTTTTGCTATAAATATTGACTTTCAGAAAACCGAAGTCTTCAATGGTCAATTAGTACATAAATCATTGAAGATGAGTGGCATACATTGACGTATTTTTTTCCTTATTCAGTAGTCTGATTTCCGACAGGATTCACTTTCAATTAATATAAAAATAATATCTTTTTGATTCAACATACTCTTTTCAATACTTTTCTTTCTATATTTTTCCCTTTCGATATTTTTTCGTTCGATATCCTTCTTTCTGCATTTTTTCGTTCTATATTTTTCCATTCGATGATTTTCCTTTCGGCATTCTTCTTTTCTATATTTCTTTTCGACGTTTTTCCTTTCGACATTTTTCTTTTCTTTCTTTTTCCATCATACCGTAACTTCTACTTCTTCCCACATGAGTTAGCAAGTAGTCAGCTTTTTGCTATTTTGACATTACGTCATAAAAGTGCCAGTAAGATTTGCTAAGATCATCAGAGTAAATGAGTGTATACATCAAGGATTTTTCTTCAGAATTCATTTTTGTTGAAATATAATGAAATAGAAGATAAAAACATTGAACTGATAAAATAGACTTAAAGGTCACAGTTGACTCATCCAAAAAACGTTTTTCTCAGCAAAATCTGACAGGTAACAGCTTTACAATTACAAATAAAATCAAAGTACGATCAACAATATTACTTTAATACTTTGATGCTTTGGTTTGTTTTATAATTTTATAGTATTTCCATTTTTATATTGTTTCTATTCATTCTACTACTTAACAAAAACTAACGCATATTATTATCAATGGTAATTGATCTTGTTTTTTTAAAAACAATTAACCATCTGTACCGATTTTAAAGATTTCTGAAGAAACCTTTCGATAAATTGTATATATGAATTTCATAAAATTTCCATAAATAGAACAATGATTTTTATCAATCTCTCTTAAACTATCAAATATCTAACTCATATGTAACTTTCACGCAGATTGATGTATATTTCTTAGATAACTCACGTTATACTTCACTTGTTGTGATATTATCTCTAAATATTGATTACACTCATGGGAAACCAACTTAATCGATTTCAAATTGTATTGCTTACTTCAAAATGTTTTTGTCTGAAATGAAATATTTATGCTAGTCTGCCAGAAATGTCCATCGCGGCGCTGCCGCTACCGCTGCCACTGCCGCGCCGCTGCCGCGATGGCGGTGGCGGCGCGGCAGCGGCAGGTTTTTTAAAAAATCACCGCGGCAGCGGCGCGGTAGCGGCAGATTTTTTTAAAAGTCATCGCGGCAGTGGCAGGTTTTTTAAAAACCAACGCGGTAGCGGCAGGTTTTTTAAAAAACCATCGCGGTAGCGGCAGGTTTTTTAAAAAACCATTGCGGCAGCGGCAGGATTTTTTTGGAGGACATTGAAAAACTGTATGAATTTAATAGAATTTCAGGATTTACAAATGAAACGCCCTGATATTGAATAAATCTGATGGACTAGTACCCATATCTCTGGTCAAATATAGTCACAGCAGTGAAATTAGAAACACTTTTTTGAAAAACGTCGCGGCAGCGGCGCGGTGGCGGCACGTTTATTTTATAATTCATCACGACAGCGGCGCGGCAACATTTTTTTATAAACCGTCGCGGCGCGGCAGCGGTGCGACAGCTTTTTTTTTCTAAGGCCGCGGAGCGGCCGCGGCAGATTTTCAGCCGCGATGGGCATCTTTGTAGTCTGCTTGCTTTGAAATTTGTAATTTATGCATATTAGCATAGCTGTGAATAATATCTGACCAAATGAAGGTTTTCATTACTTTTGCTCTATGTATTGAATTTGATTTTATTCGTAAAAGTTGATATTATCTTACATACCCATATATGTTTACATGGCAGTTATTAAATTATTTGAATCAAAGGAAAAACCAAAGACAACAGTTTACTTATACAGAAACTCAATGCTGCTGTACATTTTCGGTTGATATAAGTCAGACACCTATATTTGTATATGTAATAGTTAGATCTAAATGATTGAGTGAACTAAATACTTGTTCAAATTCTAGTACTTTCTTATAATATAATGACGTGTATGACGACTCTATT